GATGGATGGATGGATGGATGGATGGATGGATGGATGGATGGATGGATGGATGGATGGATGGATGGATGGATGGATGGATGGATGGATGGATGGATGGATGGATGGATGGATGGATGGATGGATGATCTTTGAACTCTACTGTATGGGCTTCAATTTAGACATAAATGAAAACAAGATGCAACGGTGTCATTTAAAATGTAACTTTTTCTACATTTTTGTTGAGAATTTAAAAAGATGATCCTCTGAAACAACCATCTTGCAGCTTACTTGTGACTTGTCTGCAGTTGTCATTGTGTTAAAGCATTGTTCTTTCATTGTTGTTTCCTCTAAACTACCTTCGTGGCTGATTTCAGACTCACTCCCAGCTTCAGGTCAGTGGACAAATCAAAAAAATTTGCGATGAAACAGCTGTCTTCTTTTCCAAAACTACCTTTGAAAAGACTTTAGCTTGCAAAAGTTGACATATGCAGACAGTGGTCACCTTCACTGAGAGCAACCAACTGTTATTTGACACACCATTGATCACACTGATGTATCAAATCAGCATCTGATTTGAGGCTTTAACACTTCTGCAGGCACAGTGACATCTGCCAGCTGGCTGCAGCAGAGGCTATTTGGAAGGTGCTTCTAGTACAAACACCTGTGAAAGCTAAAAATGTCTTGAAGAGGCATGCTTCTGAAAGAATGCTTCTCCAATCATTGCTTCCTTTATAAAATCTAAGGGCACTCCCGGTAATCCTTCATCTAGTTTGATTTCCGTAGCAAGAAGGGACAAAAATGTAGGACAGCCAATTTGGGCGTTGATTTGTGATGCTCATACAGTAAGTGATGGCGATACGCAGCAGAAGTTGGCCTGGAGTGAAATGCAAAGAAGGAAAAATGGATGAATATTGATTTCCGTGTTTGAATGAAGCTGGCAGAAAGACAGATGAATAAACAGAGAAAGGGGGGGTGGGGTGGGGGAGACTGCCTGGGCCTTTGGGAAATGCCCAACCTCCAACAGTACAGACCTCATAAAATAAATGACTCATTTACTCCACAAATCTGCTTTTAGTGAATACCGCGGGCCAACTGACCAAAACTTGCTCACAAACCCGCACACAGGCAGTCAGACTCAGACAGACAGGAACACACATAACTCTGCATTTCAGCACAGACCTTGTGTCTCGCAGCAGGTTAATGTGAGTGGAATAGTTTATGCCTCGTTACTTTGATCACAGCCACTGAAGAGGCTTTAATCCAGACACTCACACAAGCACAAACAGCAATGTGTCCAAAATAAATTTCCATTGAGTGAGAACATACTTTTTCAAACTTTTCTAACGTAATACATAATTTCAAAGTTCCTGCTCAATAATCCAGGTAAAAAAAATCCAACAAAGTTCAGTCAGATCATCTGGACGGTTTCTTTTTCTTTTACCGAGACATTTCGTCCTTCATCCAAAGGACTTCATCAGTTTGAGGAGCCACAATAACCTCAGTCTCACAAACAGCAGTCCTATGGTGGACCAAACAGTTTGCTGGCAATAAGATGGTTTCTGGGGCCCGCCCTCTCCCCCATCAACTACTCTGAGACAGCCATAGCCAAAGTGGTTCAAAACATCAAAGTTCATGCTCAATAATCCACGTAGTCAAGTCATTTGGACAGTTTCTTTTTTTCACCGAGACGTTTTGTCCTTCAGCCATAGGACTTCATCAGTCCGAGGAGCCACAACAACCTCAGTCCCACATGCAGCACACTCACATGGTGGGCCAACCAGTTTGCTGGTGATAAGATGATTTCTGGTTTTTGGATGAAGGATGAAATGCCTCAAGAGAAAAAAAAAATGTCCTGATGACCTGACTGAACTTTGTTGGATTTTTAAATCTGGATTATTGAGCATGAAATTTGATATTTTGAACCACTTTGGCTATGGCTGCCTCAGACAAGTCGACGGGGGAGAGGGCGGGCCCCCATCTTATCACCAGCAAACTGGTTGGCCTACTATGTGAGTGTGCTGCTTATGGGACTGACTTTGTTGTGGCTCCTTGGACTGATGAAGTCCTTTGGATGAAGGACGAAATGTCTCAAAAAAAAAAAAACATCCAGATGACCTGACTTAACTTTGATGGACATAATTCATAATGAAAAATGACAGCTAATTATATAAAGAACAACAAAAATAATAATTTGTACGCTTTTCTGGCACCAATTATCCCTACTCCTACGATTTATTTCTTCATTAAGAGATACATGTGTCCCAATCTTTTTTTATGTTTGAGGATAAGATAAACGGGATTTCTAGCCTTTCAAATCAGTGTCATTTCAGAGCAGAGCATTCCACTGTGATCATTACTGGACCACCGATTTTCAAACACTTTGGTTTTAACAAAAACAAAAATAACACAACTTCACATTGGCATCCAATCATAGCTGGATGAAGGAATTGAGAAATAACAGCACCAAGACTGCCCACCTGCAGCACATCACTTCTTCTCTCCCCAAGAAATGACAGCAGCCAAAAAGTGGTTGTCCCACTGTCACGGC